CTTTCAAATTCTTTGCCATCTGTAATGAAGAGAAGAGGTTAATTCTGGATTATTTTGAGATACAGTACCACAAAGTTAATATAGCAAATTAATTCATGTTGAAATAATACCTTGAGGTGGTTCCATCCCTCCCAGTCATTTGTAATTTCACTCCGTGATAGATCAAGAATCGCTAGCTTCATAAGGGAAAATGCGGTCAATCGGAAAAAGATGGGAAACTCATGCCATGAGAGAGATCTCAACTCCGGAAGGATGAGCAGATTTTTCTGGACACACTTGGTTGAAGGAAAATGCTGAACAAAGTTATGCCATGAAAGCCATCTCGACTTTGGAAGGATGCATAGATTCCTCCGGAACCAGTTGGTTAAAGAAAAATGCTGGACGCTATTCATATCCAAGTCTCCACAATCCACTTGAAGAAACCTTAAATTTGATAGGCTTTCAAGTTCTTCCTTCTTAAAGAAGCATTGAGATTGATGATCAAACTTGAGACGTAGTGCTTCAACGTTTTCTGTTCCCTGCCAAAGCAAACGAAGGAAACAGAAGCTAGTGATCACATAATTGCCTCTTGAAGGGATTCAAGTTGAACATACTTCAGGAATGTACATTTTATTTATTATACTTTCAAATTGGTTTACAATATGATGTACAAATGAATGTCATCAGAGTAAGCAGACAAGTAATGACTCAGGTTCAGATAGAAGCAAATAGGCAAAGTTGACGTGTATAACTCGTCCCATTGAATAGGAATAACATTGCACACATTTTACCTTTGCTATGAGAACATCAATTGCTTCATCATGATCCCGCACCTGACTTTGCTTCACTGGTTTAAAATTAGCTCTTTCATGAACAATATCTCGCCCAACGTCTCTAAGCTGATCATGGACCCACAATCGATTTCCTTCTGCAATCTTTATTAACGACATCTGTATGAGGACTTCAAGAGTTTTGGGCTCCGTTTATCTCATGGAATAATTAATGATTTGAAAATTAATTTTTTTAAAATAATCGGTAGAAATAATTAGTTAATAAAAAATATTTTCGTTGTAAACAACAATTTATATCTAAAAATTTTCGGGAACGATGAAAATATTTTTCGTTTATTCATTTTTATAAGCGGTATAAATAATCATTTTAGGAAAAATGTTTCCAAAATCATTAATTTTTCGCGAAAGAAATGCACCCTTAGACTCCAAAAGTTACATCGGCCAGAAAGTAATAAAGCTCCAAAAAAGTTACAATACAAGCGGAAGGTTATCGACAATCTCTTTTTAATTGGTTTTACGATCTTATTAGATTCATTAAAATAAAGGAGTATATTTCGGATCTCCCCTAGGAGCGGAGAAATACACTGATCTTCTAAAAGAAGTCTTGAAAATCTCAAGTCTAATCCAAGTCTAAATTGGGAAATTACGTGAAAAACATACTTAAACCAACAATCCTTCCAGAAGATGTGCATAGCACATGCAGGGCACATGAATAGCATATGTAGTGCACATGCACATGCACGGCACATGGACATGTAAAGCAAACGCAAGGCACGTGCACAACAAATGAAAATTTCAACGACAGCCGAGGAAAAGAGAGTGCCCGAATGACATAGGGAAGCCAGGCTCAAATGGGCTACATTTAAGAATCCAATGAGTTAAAAGGCCAATTCGAATGAAAATCGCAAGATGACCTTGATTTAAAAATTAACACATTGAAAGTAATGCAGATCAAATATTTTTTTTTTGGTCATGCAGATCAAATGTTAAGAAGCAGATAAAGATGCCAAGAATTTCTTGGCGTCGAGTTCAGCTGAAGAAAGACTTTTATTAAACAGTTTACTTGGGAAAATTACTAAAAGAAGTCTTAAACATATTGTAATTATGTCAATTCAGTTCTAAATATTTTTTTTTCCAATTGATCATTTACTACTTCATTGAAATACTAATAAATTTCTGATGGAGTAATTCACTTACGACACAGGAAAAATTTCAGAAGAGTCGGTAATTTACCAATTAGTGGGAATTGGTAAATGTCTTATAGTTTTGTTAATTTACTACCGCTTGACCTAACAACCAAGTGACTGGTCATTTTTTTTACCCAACAATTCCAATTTTGCTGGCAATCCCGCCCAAAAATTTCGAATGGTGAAACTTGAAACGCAGTCATGAATTCACTCAGAAGCGACTGTAGAAATCTGTTTTAAGTTATCAAAACTAAAGAACCTTTGCGACCATTGCACATGATCATTAACTAGGGAGCGTTATGTTTATGCTAGACACAATGTTTTGCCCCGACTTCTTCATTTCTTCAATGTAGAAATTTTCATGGGAAACCAACAACAATTTCGTGAATGTGGTTGCTGATGTCTAATTAATTTCGTGACACTGAATGAAACTCATTCTCAGAGTACTGCCTCAAGAACATTAATCTCTACGAATGAATTCTGGAGCAAGTCATCTCAAATCCTTGATGAATTACTTCCCTAACGAGATTAATCACTAAGTACACCCGCTAAAATTTTAGAAGTAGGACCACAGCAGACCAAAAAAAAAACGAAGAAGAAGAAGAAGAAAGAAATTGCAGAACCAAATGATTATAGTAAGGTTTCATGCCTTCGAGGACAAATTTTGCGTTTAGCAGGACCTTGATAAGCTCAGAAGAAGAATCGAGTCCGGTCGACTATATTGGATAAGATAAATGAAATCAGCTAATCCCCCTCAAACTATTCCACCTGAAAGGTTTGCACTAGTTCCTAAAGAGCGAAAATCGATCTTCCCCTAATTGGTGCAGAAGTGAAAAATTGCGAAGGAGTTGGTTAAGGCTTAAAGCTAATAAGATTAGATGCAGATGGAAGAAATCAATTGAGTCAGCTCAGGAGTGAGTTCACTGAAAGGCTGCTTTCAAAGCATATATATATAAATGATAAGTCATGACTGAAACGAAAACTCAATTCAATTCCAAATCTTTGTCCTAACGTATCCCTAGTTGCATCAGAATTCGCAAGCAGACCCAAATTATGCAAAACAGAAACAACGTAGAGAGAAATCGCCAGAAAAGGAACGGGTGAAGATGAAGAAAATCAAAGTAGACAGCCACCGGGTCTGAATGAAATGCAGAAAACCAAATAAAGATGCAGCGAAGAAGGAAGAACCCTTCTTGGCCTCAGTCAGCTCAGCTGCAGCCCAAAATGCAAAACGGAAGACTTCTCGGACAATCTATTCAACCCCTCGCGGAACAGATGGACGGGCAGGAAGACATGGGTCGCTGTCCCGGAGGAAGATCTCCACCAGATGGAGTCGCACCTTGTGCAACTCAATCAAATTCTACGAGTTATCGACGCACTTTTTTCAAATCTCTGTACTTATCGGATTCCAGGGTCTCCTCGAACTTTTTACAGCCACCTACTAATAAAATCATTAGCTTCTTGGCGCTTGAAGGACGAGATAACTTTCGCAAAGACCCGCAGCGATGTAATTGAAGCCTCTCCAATGATTCTAGCCTACCTGGAATTTCAATCACACAAGGACAACCTCTTAGAACAAGTTCCTCGAGCTTCTTGGAGTTGGTCAGGTCGGGCAACTTCTCTAGCGACGGAAGATCCACCAGACTAAAGCAACGCAGGTTCTTCAGGTCTTCCATGCCTTGAATCTCTTTTAGCTTCCAACAGGCTTGTATATCTATAGCCTTCACGTTGAATGAATCAGGCCACTTTTTGAGAGATTCACAGCACATTATATTAAGCGTCTCCAACGATTCTAGCTGACCTCGAAGCTCAACCAGCATAGGACAATATGTTATCCAAAGCACCATGAGCTTCTTCAAGCTGGTCAGGTCAGGCAACTTCACCAGCGATGGAAGTTCACCAAGTCGAAGCCGTTTCAAGTTTTTCAAACGTTCAAGGCCTTGAATCTCTATTAGCTGTTCACAATTCCAGATACTCAATTCTGATAGCTTTTCCAAATATGAAAGATCTATTGACTTTTCCATTATCCTGCGCCCATAAATACGGAGGCGTGACAAATTCTGGGGAAGCCTAGGTAGGCATTCTAGGTTATCTACTTTGAGCACCAGCTCCCTGAGCTTAGAAAGGAGATTAAAATCTGGAGGTAGTTGGGAAGCACTCCCAGAACAAAACAGCTCCAAGGACTCTAGCTTTCTTAACCTTGAGATCCACTGGAGGCTTGGAGCTCTAGCTGTAAGGAATAGATTGGTCAAACTTTCAGGAAGCTTAGGTACTTCAGAAATTCCAGTAGATGATAATATCAAGATCAAGATCCTCAGAAATGATAGTCTTCCAATCTCACTTGGTATTTCCTCCAAATATTCACGGCCAGCAGCATCTATCTCTTCAAGCTTCTCCAACATCCCAAGGGCGCTAGGTAGCTTTCTTAAGCTGGTACGAGACATCCTCAGCACTCTCAAATTCTTCATTTTCCCAATTGAATTGGGTAATTCTCCAATTCTTGAATCAGAAATATTCAACTCAACAAGAGATCCAAAATTTCCAAAGGGAAGTTCAGTAATTTGTGTATTTTTCAACCTAAGATTTGATAGTGATGTTAAGCAACCAGTAAAATTGCATATACTCAGTGATGCACATTCAACTGCACTGAGAGTTTCTAATTTCTTCATTCCTTTCCATTCGGGAATTTTGGTAATAGAGGTCCCATCAACAATTAGTTCTGTTAGGGCTTCCAGTTCCCCCATCTCGTTCGGCAATGTCCGCAGATTATAACAACCTTCCAAGTTTAAGAACACTAAATGCTTTAACTTACCAATAGACTTATCAACTTGAACCAGTCCCTTACACCCTTGAAGAATCAGTCGCTCTAAATTTTCATGAGCAGAAAAGTCGGGAGTTCCATGCAAGTTTCTGCATTCAGTCAAATTTAGAACCTTCAAATTCTTTGCCATCTGTAATAAAGAGAAGAGGTTAATTCTGGATCATTTTGAGATACAGGACAGCTGAGTTAACATAGTAAATTCATGTTGAAATAATACCATACCTTGAGTTGGTTCCATCCCTCCCAATCATTTGTAATTTTACTCCGTGATAGATCAAGAATCACTAGCTTCGTAAGGGAAAATGTGGTCAATCGGAAAAAGATGGAAAACTTATGCCATGAGAGAAATCTCAGCTCCGGAAGGATGAGCAGATTTTTCTGGAAAAACTTGGTTGAAGGAAAATGCTGAACAAAGTTATGCCATGAGAGCCATCTCGACTTTAGAAGGATGCATAGATTCCTCCGGAACGAATTAGTTAAAGAAAAATGCTGGACATTGTTCATATGTAAGTCTCCACAATCCACTTGAAGAAACCTTAAATTTGATAGGTTTTCAAGTTCTTCCTTCTTAAAGAAGCGTTGAGATTGATGATCAAACTTGAGACGTAGTGCTTCAACGTTTTCTGTTCCCTGCCAAAGCAAACAAGGAAAACAGAAGCTAGCGATCACATAATTGCCTGTTGAAGGGATTCGAGTTGAACATACTTCAGGAATGTACATTTTACTTATACTTTCAAATTAATTTAGAATTGATTTACAGATGAGCATGTCATCATAGTAAGCAAACAATTAATGACTCAGTTCAAATAGAAGCAAATAAGCAAAGTGAACGTGCATAACTCGTCTCTTGAAGAGGAATGACATTGCATACACTTTACCTTTGCTATAAGAACATCATTTGCTTGCTCATGATCCCACACCCGACTTTGCTTCTCTAGATTAAAATTACCACTCCGACGAACGAAATGTTGCCCAAGGTCTCTTAGCAAATCATGCACCCACAATTCATCACGTTCTGTAATCTTTATTAACGACATCTGTTGGAGGACATCAAGATAATAGTCAGGGAAAAACCCACAGCTTTTCCATATGTGCCTCACAATTCTCCAATCAAACCCAACAAAGAAGCAACAAACATCAAGAAATATTTCCTTCGCATGTGGTTGTAATGCCTCGATACTGATGTTCAACTTTTCTTCAACATTTTCATCTGGAATAGTTTCCAGCTTCTCTAATGTGGTCTCCCAAAATTTTCCATCTTTTCCAGCTAAAAATGAACCTATGATCTCAAGAGCCAAAGGAAGATGACCGCAGATTTTTACCGCTTTGTTTGAGAGGTAGAAGTATTCTGCTGGAGGATGATCTCTTCTAAAGGCATGTCTGCTGAAAAGTTGAAGTGAATGATCAAAATCCATTTCAGTAAGTTCGTGCTTCAAATCAACATCCTTGAGAACTTCCTTGTTTCTTGTGGTAATAATAACCTTACTTCCTCTGCTGTACCAGCATTTGCCCATCCCCACGAGCATCCAGCTGAGTCTTTTGGACGACATCATCAAGTAGAAGTATGACCTTCCTAGAGAATAGCCTCTTCTTGATCTCAGTAATCCCTTCTGATATATTATGGATGGGCAGACATGTCTCTTTTAGGATACCAGAGATGAGTTGATTCTGCAATATATTAATCTCTGTGTCTTTGAAGTTAGACAGGAAGCAACAGTTAGTGGAATTGGCCAACATTTTATTATAGATGATTGTGGCAAGAGTTGTCTTTCCGACACCGCCCATACCATAAATACCAATGATCTTTGTTTCAGTGGTCTGTTCACCTATCACTTCCATGATTTTGTCCACGTGATCGTCCATTTCAACCAAGTAATCAGATACTGTCAAGTAGTTCTTTTTCAACTCGATCAACAGCGTCCGAACAACTTCTTCTGTGAACTCACCTTTGCCTCTGATAGTATTGAAGGCAAAAGGACCAAACTGCTAAATTGATATGAACAGAATAATATCTAAGGTACAAACAATTATTGAACAACAATAAATTCAAGTACCTCTCTTTGAGTTCGCATCCTCTTAACGCTCCAACCTTGCTGAGAGCTGCCTTCCAGTTTTGAATAGTCTCATCAGTGTACCGCTGCTTATTTATGTGTAAATTAATGGCCTCACCGTAACTTCCAGTTTGGCGAAGAACATCGGATGGTGCTACGTCATAGAAAACTGGCATGATCTTACATCCCCAGTTTTCCTTGCACTCCACCATCTGGACCAACTCCATGAGGCACCATGGACTGGCAGCATATCCTTTAGATAAGATAGGAATTGAGATTTCCGACTGCTTAATCGCATGGACAAGCTCCGGGCCAATCTCTTCCCCAATGGGAAGCTCTTCATTATCTCTATATGCCCGTATTCCGGCACGAATGAGGCTGTTGTAAAGGTAATCAGCCATGTCGCGGCGAGTGTCCGGTCCTCTGAAGCTCAAGAATACTTCATAATCAGATTCTGTTGGCTTCTCCATTTCCAGAATTTTCAAAGGACTTGCAATGGCCTGATATCCCACCTGAAAAACCTTTACTATGAAAGTGGAGTGATGACTATCATGATTTCTCTTGGAAACTCTTCTGTTTCAAGTCATTCTAGAAAGAAACGAAGATGGCAAATGCACGAGCTCCTTCTGGGGCATTGCACTAGACTCAAAACATGTCCGGTTGTTTTAGTAACAATATGGTAGAGAAGTGGACCCATCTCAATTTTGAAGGAAGAAATTTCTAAAGTAATGTGGAATTATGGGTTTTAATTCACACCAGAAATAGAGTCGAGAGAATAATATTTCGAGAAGATAAATCACTATCAACCTATTTTTGTGTTAAACTCTTATTTTAGGTGATAAAATTTCTCTTGAAAGGTGGCATTGAATGTCCTCTGCACATAAGTGCCTGCTGTTGCTTGTAGGTTGACTAACTATCTTATTGTCTGATAAGAAATTATGATGGAACCTTCCTCTTTTAGTTGTACCAAATTAGATTTGACAAAGACATTCCACAACACTCAATTAGTTGCTCCCCTGACCTTAACGGATGCTGGCGAAGAATCACACTCCCCAATGACTTTCTCATTAGAAAAATGAAATCAAGAAATTAATATGAAGCTAACTCAACCCTCATCATTGGACTATTTTCTTAAAAGCATAAACCAATCCCTAATCACAGCCATCTCTTAGGTTATTAACAAACAGATAAAGGGTCAACGGGCGAGCATTAGTCAGGCATGAAGCTATCATTCACATCTGCCAGAAATTATCAGCATATCAGAAAAAGAGGAGTGGATTTCTAATCAATTATGGAGTTAATAAAATTTCAACGGAAAAAGAAGGCATGAATGCTATAACTATTTTTCCAGTAAATAAGTTGGAACACATAGGAGTTTAGGGCTGAGAGCTGCATTTTACAAAAGCTGAGAGTTCCGGTTCACCACAGAGTGCAACATTATAGTCTATTCAGTCTGTATCTACCGTTAAATTGAGAGTTGAGGGTATCAATTTTCTGTCTAGGAATGTTCTTACTGCTAATTTACCAGACAATAATGTGCTAATTAGCCTCTACTGTTAAACAAATGAAATCAACCGATTCCACTCAAACAAAGTCAGCTTTTAGCGCCGGCCCTGTTCCTAAAGAGCGTAAGTTTGATCACTAATTGCAGAAATCTCTGAGATTTATCAACCAGCTGATGCATCTGAGTGGGATTGTGTTCAAGATCTGAGGCCTGACAGGTGCATAGATGGAAGCAGCTGAGCAGGGTTTAGCGCGTGACTAGAGCTAGGCCAAAACTATTAGTGTTAGATACAAATTGCAGAGAGATCGACCCTGGAGTCAACTATGGAAAGAACTGATACTGATATGAGAGTCCCTCTATTTTTTCCATCAAATTAATGAAAACAACCAATAGATGTGAGGAAATTACCGGAGATGGAGGGGTGAAGATGCAGAGTCCGGATCAAACGCTGAGAAGCAGATAAAGATCCCCAGAAGAAACGTTCCAGGCTTTGAGCTCAGCTGAAGAAAGACTTTTTATTAGACAGTCAATTCACCCTCCTTCGCCATGCTCTTCCAGGGAGGTGAGGACTTGCCAGTTGCAGGTACACTTCAATCCGACCGTGAAAAGTCAATCCGCGTTGCTTTTGACTTTTGAGGCACGAAAGACGAGAGTACAAGAGATTTTCATGCAGGTTATTAGTTTAGAAATCATTCAAATTATACTTATTGATAGTCTTTTACTGACGGTGAAACCCTTTTTGTAGGTGAACCCCCAGGCCCATTCAAATTTTACATATATTAAACCTAAAAATGTAGAATTCATATATTTTAAGTAACTGAGACGGATTATGTCAGAATTATTCACATGAGTTTATAAGACTAAAGTTAGGTTTCAAACTTCAAAAGTTTGGGAAAATAATACCACAAATGCTATACTTTTCGTATATCACTCATTTGAGTGCTATAATATGTTTTGGATCACTTGAGTGATATGATTTTTGTGCGGCGTTTATTTAATTGCCATAACTTTTTTTTTTCGATCACTTGAATATCATATAACTTTTCGATCGATCGCTTGTACTATTACTTTTTATAATCACCTATTTGCTGCACGTGTACGTGCACACTCACTCACTTTGTTTCTTTCTTAGCATGCGAAGGTAGTAGTGAGGGCCAAGCTAACTCTGCCCAAGTCTAACGAGGGACACCGATCCCTCGCCGGTGCGACGGTGGCTACCATGTCGCACCACCTCAACCGGAGCTCTGTCCTTCTTGTTCCCCATTGTTTGACTCTTCCTCTTTTTCCCAAATTTTTACTTTTTTCAGATTTTTATTTTTAGAATTTTGAAATCAATTTTTTCCTTTTAATTTTTTGTAATTTTTCTTAAAATGTCTGATACGGAAACCATATTAATGCCGCTATCTTCGGGAAAAAAAATTAGGTAAGCTTTTTCCATTAGTGCAATCAGATAGAGTTAATAGTATGACTCGACTGCATCAATTTGATAAATTTTAAGATTTGAAGTATTAAGGCTCGATTATACTTTTACAACAATTTTTTAGACTTATGGTGCGTTTATCCCATTTTTAGGGATAATAGCATAAATAGTCTGTAAACTTTGGCCCAATGAGTCTTGTCATCTCTAGATTTTCAATTTGTTCAATGTAGTCTCTAAAATATTGATAAATGTTCAATTTAGTCCTTAGACTAAATCCGTCATTTCCATATAGTTTAAGGACTAGATTGACTATTTATTAATAGTTCATATACCACATTAAACAAATTGAAAGTTTAAAAACGACATAACACATTTAGCTAAAGTTCAAGGATCACATTGAACAAATTAAAAATTTAGGGACAACGTTGCATATAGGATCAAAGTTTGAAGATTATTTGTGTTATTCTCCCAATTTTTATATCTAAAACTCCTTAAGCGAAGACACATAGATTCGCAAATAATTTTTTGATAATTTTCTGAAATTTGAACAGTAATTTTAATTTTAACAAAAAAAGTAAAAAAAAACTACTATTAACTTTTTTAAGTCCAAACAAACATGCATTAAATCAATTTATTTTCGCCATTTCTTTACAATGTCACTTCGCGCGGTGGATGCTAAAATGCAGAGCGCCCCATTTTCATGGGAGAGACGACTGGCGCATTGCCATGTTCTTCAGCGATGTCGTCCCAACCATCGATTGCTACGTCTCTCTCATCACAAGATGCGTCGCCAAGGAACACTTGAAGCTCGGCATGACCCTCCACTCTCACCTCATCAAGACCGCACTCACCAGCGACCCTTTCATCGTCAACCATCTAATTGGTATGTACTCCAAATGCTCTTCCATCCGAAGCGCCCACAAGGCTTTTGATGATCTTGATACGAAGAACGATTACTCTTGGAACACCATCGTATCTGCATATGCCCGGATTGGCGATTTCCAGAGAGCGCTCGGCTTGTTCGATGAAATGCCGCAGAGGGCTCTTGTCTCTTATAATTCCTTGATTTCTGGGTTGTCCCGTCATGAGTTTTATGTGGAGTCTCTGAGTATCTTCATGCGGATGCAAAACGAATATGATTGTCTGTTCATGGATGAATTTACTTTTGTGGATGTTGTGGGTGCCTGTGCTCGGTTGGGTGCATTGAAGTTCTTGCGCCAGGTTCATGGAGTTGCCATCATAATGGGCTTGGAATTTACCAAGATAACTTATAATTCCCTGATTGATGCTTATGGGAAATGTGGCGGAGCCCATATATACCGTGCCTTGTTCGACGTTATGCCTGGAAAGGATATTGTGTCATGGACTTCCATGATTGTTGCTTATACACGAGCTCATAACTTAGATGATGCTTGTGCAATATTCAACAATATGCCGGCGAAGAACACGGTATCTTGGACTGCACTGATCGCAGGCTTTGCGCAGAATGGCCATGGTGATGAAGCTTTGGACCTTTTTGTTAAAATGCATGAGGAAGGAATACAGGCAAGTCCTCGTACTTTTGTCAGTGTTCTATGTGCTTGTGCTGATTAAGCACTTGCTGAAAGAGGCAAACAGATTCATGGTTGCATCGTTGGGACCTGCTTTAATAGAGTTATGGATAACATATTTATATGGAATGCTCTAATTGACATGTTTTGCAAGTGTGGTGACATGAGATCAGCTGAGATCTTATTCTTGAGGATGCAGGAAAGGGATGTTGTATCATGGAACTCGATGATAACTGGGTTTGCTCATAATGGTCTAGGGCATGAATCACTTGTTTTTCTCAAGACGATGCAAGAGACAAATGTAAGACCTAACCATGTCACATTTCTTGGCGCTCTTTCTACTTGCAGCCACACAGGTCTAGATGTTGAAGCACTTCAGATTTTCGATGCAATGGAAAAGGATTACAGCCTTCAACCGAGATCCGATCACTATACTAGTTTGGTCGATCTGCTCGGGAGGAAAAACAGACTTGAGGAAGCCATGGAGTTTTTTTTTTTGGTTAAAGAGGAAGCCATGGAGTTAATAGAGAGTGTCTCGAACAAATCAAACCATGTTGGAATGTGGGGTGCACTTTTGGGTGCATGCAAAGTCCATGGTAATCTAGTTATTGCCCGAAAAGCCGTGGATGCTCTATTGAATTTGGAACCCCGAAATGCTGTGAGGTACGTCATGTTATCCAGCATATACGCTGCAACTAACAGTCGGGATGATTCCTGCGGAGTAAGGAAGCAAATGGAGGAGAGCGATCTGACGAAAGATGTGGCAAACAGTTGGATTGAGGTAAATAATGAAATGCACAAATTTCCAGCAAAGGACCGATTCCGCTATCAGATAGGAGACATATACGAAGTGCTCGGGAAACTAGCATATCATATGAAGGAAGCTGGGTATGTTCCTGAGCCCAACTTAAGGCTCATCTTAGATGATGATGATGTTGTTGGGTGATGAATGAGAAGTGTTTAGAGGGAAGATGCTGGAATAAAAATAGAAGGCTACAGC